CTCTGAAAGATATGGGGGTTTCCGAAAATGGGGGTACCCTCTGTGGGTTTGGGGATCTATTCTATTTGGTGTATGTAAGGGGGTACCCCTGTTTTGGGAAATACCCATATTGCTTCATAGGATCCTCTGAGAAGATCATCTTGATATAGCATAATATAGCTGAATAGAGCAGAATGTCCCGTATACATTCGACTATAAACTCCCTGATCGTATACGATCACAGATAAAACGAGAATGCAAAAAAACAAGTCTCCGGCCCAGAAACAGTCATCAGTGGTGTAACACCCTGTCGGTCAGCATGATGAGGGTTTGCCCTTTGCCGAATCAGCAGGCGTACAGCCTCCATGTGTCCTGCTACACAAGCCATGTGCAGGGGCCTTGCACCCATTGGTGAGGCTGCCTCAATGTCAGCACCAATCGTGAGCAACGAATGCAGCACGTCCACATGTCCCAATGTGCTTGCGACATGCAGCGCGGACAGGCCGCTGGCCGCCACATGATCTTTGTCAGCCTTGAACCGGATCAAGAGGCGAACTACCTCGACTTGATTCTCCTTCGATGCAACTATCAGGGGTGTGGTGCCATCCAAGGTTGACTTGTTGACATCGGCCCCAGCCTCAATCAGCAAACGTGCTGTCGCAACCTGCCCTGCTACGCAAGCACTCCAGAGGGGCGTCACTCCGGTTGAGTGTGCCGCAGAATCAATGGCGGCATCTGCGTCGATGAGAACCTGAGACGCTTCCGTGTGCCCGGTCGCGCTGGCAAGGTGCAGCGGCGTTAGTCTCATCTCGCCATGTGACCACGCTCGACTTGCATCAGCTCGAGATTCGAGCAGGCATCTTACAAGCTCCGCGTGGCCACGCGCGCAAGCCCAGTGCAGGGGCATTCTGCCTGCATGCGAGTCTGGCTTGCTGATGTCTGCCCTCGCTTCGAGAAGCAGCTTCGCCGCATTCAGACTTCCATGCTGGGAAGCCATGCTCAAGAAGGTGATGCCCACATTGAGCGACAGGTTTGGATCGCAAGGAATCTGCAGGAACGCCTCGACGACATTGGCATTGTCAACGGCAAGTGCAGCAGCGAACTCCTGGAGGCGTTTAGGGTTTAGGGTTTAGGGTTTAGGGTTTAGGCTTTAGGGTTTAGGGTTTAGGGTTCAGGGTTCAGGGTTTAGGGCATAGGGCCGTCGTCTTTGAGACCTGCCTATTGCTCCGCGTCCTCCCCTAAGAACTGCCTGCTGCGCCCTAGTTCTACACGCGACGACGATTATGACCGCCTACCTTTACCTACTGCCATCATGAAAGCGACCCTAAACCCTAAACCCAGAACCCTAAAAATTGCTCTTGCAGCAGCTCCAGAAGATGTGAATCGTCTGGGGGACAGAACGAGAGAAGCACCAGGTGCAAAACACTGGGCGAGTCGAGCTTGGTGCCTTAATTTTCTAGGGTTTCGGGTTTAGGGTTTAGGGTTTAGGGTTTAGGGTTTAGGGTTTAGGGTAGCCCAGTAACCATCTTAAAATCAGGGCACCTTTTCTGGCTTGGCTACTTGAGAAGGGCACCTTGAACCACAAAAAAGGGTAACCCCTAAGCCCTTAACCCTTAACCCTAAGCCCTGAAACCCTGAACACCTAACCCTAAACCCTAAACCCTAAACCCTAAACCCTAAACCCTAAACCCTCCTACCAAGGTGCTGTCACTCAAGATGTCGTCGCCACGTAGTAGGCGCTGTCGGAAGCGTGTGTGCCCAGTCAGCAGCGCCAGATGCTCTTTGAGACCTTGGCGCCGACAAAGATCCACCCTAAACCCCAAACCCCAAACCCTAGACCCTAAACCCTAAACCCTAAACCCGAAACCCGAAACCCTAAACCCTAAACCCTAAACCCGAAACCCGAAACCCGAAACCCGAAACCCTAAACCCTAAACCCCAAACCCGAAACCCTAAACCCTAAACCCCGGGCCCGCAGAGTGACGGAAATGGCAAAGACAAAACAGAAACTTTCGATCTCCCACCTCTTGCATGGTCCTTGCCAGCCTTGGCGAGGTCCTTCAAGCAGGGTTTAGGGTTTAGGGTTTAGGGTTTAGGGTTTAGGGTTTAGGGTTTAGGGTTTAGGGTTTAGGGGTTTAGGGTTTAGGGTTTAGGGTTTAGGGTTTAGGGTTTAGGGTTTAGGAGTTTAGGGGTTTAGGGGTTTAGGGTTTAGGCTTTAGGGTTGTCAGCCTTGGCAAGGTCCTCCAAGCTCGTTTCGGAGAGTGAGAGCACCTCCTCTCCTGAAGTCATCATCACCACACGCAGCATGGCGCAATCCAGGAAGGATTGCCCCTGAAGACCCACTTTGGGGCTTGGGAATAGGGTTGAATAGGGTTTAGGGTTTCGGGGCTTAGGGGTTTAGGGGTTTCGGATTTAGGGCTTAGGGGTTTAGGGGCTGAGGGGTTCATTGGCTCAACAGCAGGGGCTTGGGCTCCTGTTTTGGGTTATTGGGTTCCATGGCTTGGGGGGTTTTCAGCCATAG